TTATTCTATTCATAAAGGGCTTTGGAGCCGCTCTTAGTCTGACCCGTCACCCAGGACCTGTTTGCCTTGGGAGACCCTACCATGGACATATAGCCCCCGACAACATAGCTCTTAGGATCACTTGGGTATTCAAACCCCTCCACCACAATAAGGTAGCGGTTCAAGGAGGGGCCCATGGTTACAGTACATTGTAAACCAGACATGTGTGTATTTACAGTATGTGTATATACACACACACACACACACACACAAGTACACAATACTGTTTTAGAAATGTACACTAACTAATGTAGATGCACTTACTTTCCTTAGCTACTTGCCAATCAAATTTATTTTTCTCCTTTCTTGGGGTGGCTAGATTCAGACTACATTGATCTCTTTAGCTGTGTCCTCAGCTGTGAGGGAAGATATTTTGCGCTCATGGGTTTTGGCAACAATATACAGTATGTTTTAAGTTGTGTGTCAGTTTTCCTGGAGCAGTGAATGTAGCTACCTAGTTAGTTGGCTAGCTAGGTGTTGACCAAACAAGGATCACAATTTTTTTTGAAGCAGTAAGGTGACTGAAGTTGAGCCATAGACTGTATGACTTGATACCACTGGTCCAAGAAGACAACTTAGTCCAGCATGTGCAACATTATGCATGTTAGAAAAGCTGTATAATGTTTGAAAAAATATTCCGAACAAAAACTGTGCTTTAACTTTTATCTAATGAAAATTATAACTGAGAATTTAATCTATGCAGAGCGTATAGTATGTTGATTGAATGCAGGCATCAGTAAGTCTAGGTGCATTTTTGTTTTAGGTAGACACTGAAAACAACAGTGCATCTTTGTCTTTTTTCTAGCAGTCTATCATATTTTGATCTGTCAGATCTTAATTTTTAAGATGGTGTGGCAACATGTTTAACTTCAGAGCTTTCTCCCTCTGATAGAGGTTGTGGATTATGAGACTGTAATTTGTTTAAAAAAGTTAAATATTTCTTAAGTCTATGCTGATGTATAAGTTAATATCTTTGAATATTAGTTATTCTGAGCTATAGTCTCTTCTGTAAACAAAACAGAAGCATAATCATCCTTCACACAAGCAAGTCACAAAGAAAAGTTTCCTTGTAGTTTTCACCAGGCTCCCCGTGTTCAGAGCTTTTGGATGTTGATCTGACAACCTCAGAGAGGTCACTGGCTGCCCTGGTCACACTGTCATAAGATGGTGGTGAGGACATTAGTGTGTCCTCTGTTGTCTGTACAGCCTCCTCCCCTACAGGCTCATAGTGCTGTATCATGGAAGCTATCAGCCCCTCTGTTTCTGGGCCGTTCTCCACATCCACCACAGTCACATAGTTTATTTGTCTGTAGAGGTAAGATGCCTGCTTCATCTGTCTGCGCACCAGATGCTTCCTGTAACACCTCTGGATGATAATTGCAGACACCTCCTCCAGTTTGCGGCGTAGTGTAGACGTAATGGGCTCATGGGAAATCTTGGAGGAGTTTGTCATCATGAATTTCTCTTCCATTTGCTGCTTTAGGGCATCCATCTCCCCTGACTCTCCCAGGACTCTCTTTGTGAAGGCAAACAGGATGTCCAGGCAGTGGATCCTATCCCCACTGACCATGGGAAGGTCCATGGAGATCAGCTTGGACATGTTAGGCTTGGCTATGCGCAGCGGCTCCGACAAAGTATTAGCGAAGTTTGACAGCATGGAAAACTCTATGAACTGTGTGGCCTCAGAATCAAACTTCTCCCAAACCTCATAAAACATCTCAAAGTCATCCTCACTCAGTGGTTCTGTACTCTCCTCTGTGGCAACACTGAAGTTCTCCAGAATGATAGCTATGTACATATTTACCACAATGAGGAAAGAAATGATTATGTAACTGACAAAGAAAGCTATGCCCACTGAGGGGCTGCCACAGTTTCCCCGGGTGTTAGTACCAGTATTGACAAAGTTAACATCACACTCATCTGGGGAGGTGGACATTATGGGGCTCAGGAGGTTGTCCCAGCCTGCAGAGGTACTGATCTGAAAAAGACAGATCATACTGTTCCCAAAGGTCTCAAAGTTAAACATGTCGTCAATCCCGTCTTGTTTTTTCACGTAGGCAAAGTTTGCCATACCAAAGATAGCATAGATGAACATGACAAGAAAAAGCAGGAGGCCAATGTTGAACAGTGCTGGCATGGACATCATTAAGGCAAACAGTAAAGTCCTAATTCCTTTGGCTGCACGAATAAGTCGGAGGACACGTCCTATCCTTGCCAGTCTGATGACTCGAAACAGGGTGGGGGATACAAAGTACTTTTCAATGATGTCTGCAAGAACAATCCCTGAAGTGAGAGAGAAAGACAAGTCAAGAATAACTTTAACTACATGCACAGCGATGCATATATATTTAAAGCTGCACTAATCATCTTTATATTAACAGTGGATCAACTAACCAGGTGCAATGTGAAAGGAAGGGGTGACAAACCCAAAAACCCAACTCTGTAGTTATCCTCAGCTCTCCTGAGAAATTTCAGTGTCTTTCTGGTCATTGTACTACTGTAGTTTTATAACCCACAGATCGCACTCTGAACAACCCAGTGCCAGCAGTTTTCATCAAAAAAGCTTTGATAAACTCACTGGAGGTCAGCTGTCTCTCACCAAACACCAGATAGTATTGCCCAAATTGAAAAATCTAAACTTTTTCAGCTATCCTGATAATTAACAACACACAAATAAATGGGACTTAAAACAACCAGCTTGGCAGACATAAAATTTAATGATTTATCAACTTTTTGCAGTGTGTCTTTAAGTGATGGAGATATAATACTAGATTTTTACTGTTTTGTGTGATATTGTGCATCACTACCTACCCACAATAGAGAGAATTATCACCACAAAATCAAATATGTTCCATGCAACTGTGAAGAAATAACAACGGAGGGCAAAAATCTTGATCAGGCATTCAGTGGTGAAGATCACAATGAAGACCAGATTGATCTTGTTGAGGATGGACTCCATTCGCTGTGACTGCTCATCAGTTTCTACCATCATGGTCACCATGTTGATGATGATGAGCATCATGATCATGATGTCAAAGGCTTGCTTGGACACGAGATCGAAGAAGAAGGCTTGGAGAAGGTTCTAAGATTGGAAATACACACAGTGATTCAGGCAGCAAACATAACACTGGTAGTACAATATTATCAACAATGTTATCACGTAATATGTAAGAGAAGGATTTTTAATATAACCTAAAGTATGAAAAAGTATCAAGATATGCTATAAACATTTTAAAAAGCGAGTCAGTGTCTGAAAAATAATATGATTTTACCGCAGGCCTCGGTATTGGCTTCTGTGGCTTTTTAGTTCCTAACTTCTTCATTGCATTATAGTACTTCTTCTGTTCGTCAGTCATGAAGATATCCTGTCCACCTAAGTATAAAGGTGGTAAAAACACGTTTCATTTGTGGGTTGTTAGTATTTGCACACAATTTTTTATATTTGTATTTTTACTGAATAATGAAAAATATTCTTTATAGCGTAATTGTTTCACTTTTAAAAACAAGGCAGTAATTATAAGCAAATACCAAGTGATCCAGGCTTGACATCAGTGCTGTTAATACTCATCTTTCTTTTCTGCTGATTGAAGTTGTCAATAATGACACCGATGAAGAGATTGAGGGTGAAGAAGGAGCCAAAAATGATGAAGACAACAAAGTAAAGGTACATGTAGAGGTTGATTTCTCTCATAGGTTGTTCCTCCACCTGAAAACAGTTATTGTAAGTGAATCCCTTAGTGTAACATTTTTATGACATACTGTAAGCGCTGAAAATAGAAAGCCATACTTACTCCTCTTGAATCAACAGCTGCATGCATTATTTCCATCCATCCCTTAAATGTAGCCTATTATACCACAGAGTATTACACAACATTACTGTCTGGGCACTGCATTGTGCTGTAAAGCACTGACTTTATCTATTGAAAACAACATTACAAATTCAACTCAGCTCATTTTATGATCAAATTAACTCTTCATGGAATAACGTGATTCTTAAGGTGAAAGTGTGCTAGACAGACCAGATAAACTCAAAAGGGCGCAGCATCTGAAGCTTACCACTTGCAGAAGGGAAAGGTAGCCGAGTCCCACATTGTCGAAGTTAACTTTCACTTTTGTCCAGTAGAACTGGGTGTCATTCATGGCAAGGCACTCAGACTTGTTGTTGACTACAGAGATGCTGTGTATGAAGCCTGTTCTGTTCACACACTTCCCAAACTTGCCAGAGAACAGGTTGACTCCCATGATGCTGAAGATGAGCCAGAAGATGAGACACACGAGCAGCACATTCATGATGGAAGGGATGGCTCCTAAAAGAGCGTTCACGACCACCTGTTGGGCAACAAACAACAAACGGGTCAGCCTCACATCAGTGAGTTACTCTATTAGAGTTTTAGACCTCTGAATCACTTAACACTTCTCTGATGTCTTTACAATTCATGGCAATAAGTCTGTCAGGCTGATTCTCTATGAGCTGATCTCCCAACTGACTAGATGAAAATTAGCTTTAAAAAATATTCTCAAAGTGATGACTAGTTAAAACCATGTCTGTGGTGACCAGACGGCACGTGGTTTTCACGTCTGTCTCCCTCCACTAGCTACAGTCGGTTCAGATTCGCTCAACCTGCTTGAAGTGGGCCGGTATGCACAGTACTGGCCCTTCTACATTTTATTTAGTCTGTCTGCTCAGTTTGATGGTCATTTTGAGATTGGAGCTACTTTGTTGTTGTACTGTATTTGTGGACTGTCATCTGGAAAGCTGTTTCTGATACAGTTGTCTTCACCAAAATCATCATAGAATCTGTAATTTAATTGAGTAATTTACAATTAGATGATATCATTATTATCCAACCATGTCTGTGGTGACCAGACGGCACATGGTTTTCACATCTGTCTCCCTCCACTAACTATCATCTAATACCTGTTGTGCAGATATATCATGTATTTTTCTACAAATCATCATACTTCATTTTACCTCTGCTTAAACAAAATTCTTGTAAATGTGTGGTTTTCTCTTTAGTGTTACACATTGTTGGTGATTTAATAAAATACACAAAAAATTTCCCAATTTTTTCATATTCACATCCTAATAAAAAAACCAAGGACTGTGGATTTAGTAAACCTTTACACCCCTAATAATTAGCACTAAACACTAAAGTTTATGACAAAAATACATTTTGACCTGAGCTAGATGAAAGTTCTGAAAGGTACAATAGCTATAACAAATCTTCTTGAGGGGACATAAATGTCTGAACCAAATTTCAGTGCAATCCAAAGTGTTTGAGACATTTCACTCAAAAAGACAAATGCTAATGGTGGCGCCAAAGACAAAGTCAGTTAGTCACCAATGTCTTTTAAATTCATCCTTTAGGAACCAGTCTACAAAGTTTTGATCCAGTCTATAATGTAGATATAATGAGATGTTTCACTGGATATTCACTGGAAGTCCCATATACTGGCATACATGTCACTTACAAATCTAACAGAAATATTATATTTGCAATGAGAATATTAGATTGTCCAGTTGTCAGACAGAATATTAATAAGGACAAAAATGAGAACAAACAAGGATGAAAGCATACCCGCTTTAGTGTAGGTAGTAATTCTAAGATGAACAAGCATGGTAATAGTTTAAGGTGATATCAGTGTTGCGCAGAAAACTTGTTTCTCACCCGCATTCCCTCAAATCTGGACAGAGCTCTGAGAGGTCTCAAAGCTCGCAGGGTCCTCAGGGACTTGATCGCTCCAAAGTCAGAATATCCCAGTGAATTTGCTACCAGGCTTATCAAGGACACCTGTATGGAGTACACAAAGACATATGAACAAAGAGAATCACAAAATGATTTAAAATGTTTAAGTCAACTGAATTCATGTTTAAACCTCTGGGAGGTTTATACAAAAACAATGAAAAGAACTCCGTAAAGTAAAATTAAACATACACAGTCTTGTCAACACAACAGTCAAGGAACTACATATCTTCTCTGAGCAATTATACTGGACTTATCTTCAAAAGAAAAAAGTAACCAAAGATCCTAAAAGACAAAGAGAAAACATCCAGAGAGCCATAGTTTATAGCTGTTGTGTATTTCAGGACATTCCACAGTAGAATGAGCTGAAACACACTGATGAGCCTTCTCGGTGTAGTGAAACACCGGTTAGAGAGAGGGCGCCCACCTGATGACCCTGTAGATTTGGCTTCACTCCTACACCCACACAGAGGCTGTTGAATAACCCTTGGATGATTGAATGTGGCGTGATAGAAATGACTGATGATGATGATGATAAAGCACAGATGTGTGCACATATGGATAAAGTGTCCATGCATACACACTCATCTATATATGCATATATAATACAGTATGTATATATATATCAAATAGAGGGAGTTTTATGAAGAATTTATATCTGTCTTTGCCAAATTTGTTTCCCAATTTGCATCCAATTGATCCACAATGAGTTCATTAACACAATTTAGGACAAATAAAATCCCAACTGTCTGGACTTCTTTATAAAAGTCTATTCACAGAAATAGAAAGAAAAGAAAGGTAGGTTGTTGCAGTAATCAGCATCATTTGTAATTTCTTTAAAAACAGACATAACAAATAACACTCAGTGCATGAATTACACACAACAATAAAAACAGGAATTCAACCGGCACATTTCTAAACTGCAAACATGACTAATAACATCTGTATCACAACAGACGGCACTTGCAAGTGAAGAACAAGCCAATCCCGGCCGGCAATCGGGCGAAGGCGGGGTACACCCTGGACAGGTCGCCAATCCATCGCAGGGCTAACACATAGACGAACAACCACACACACGCACTCCTATGGGCAATTTAGAGACACCAATCAACCTAAGCTGCATGTCTTTGGACTGTGGGAGGAAGCCGGAGTACCCGGAGAGAACCCACGCAAGCACGGGGAGAACATGCAAACTCCACACAGAAGGGTCCCGCGTGGGGCCCGAACCCGGAACCTTCTCGCTGTGAGGCAACTGGAGACACTTTACAGCAAATTATCTGGACAAATCCTGACATAAAGTCAAATATACCATTGTTCAGTGAGGCAGCTGTTTAATGTGTGTTTAGTTTGTTTGAAATAGAAAAAACAGATGGCAGGTTTAGTACAATTTCAACCAAAAAAGTGGCCTGTTATTGTAAAGCATAAATGAACTGTTAAGTGCTTTCCTGTGAATAATACGTCACTTACCAAGCTGCAAATCCCCAAAAACATAAACAGCTACATTCAGTGACAATGACAGGGCGTACAGTTCAGTCAAAATCTCGTAATGCAACTTTTCATTAATATCATCATTTCACATAAAGCAGCAAAAATATGAGACATGCCAAAATGTTCACTTACATCTACAATAAGAAAGTCGAGCCAGCACCAGTAGTTGGTGAAATATTTCTTGAAACCATATGCAGTCCACTTGAGGAACATCTCCAGCACAAAGATGTAGGAAAAGATCTTGTCAGCGTACTCCAACACCACCTTAATGACTTTTCTCTTCTCAATGTAGATATCTTCAAATGCCTACAGCAGCAAAGGGACAACAGTGTGAGAAAACACAACTACTACACTACTGTTGGTTAAGTATGAGATAACAGAACGTGCAAGCAGAAGATGTAAATACTCCAGCAAAGTACAGATACCTCAAAATTGTACACTGTATTCTGTCAATGTACTTAACAGTAGTTGCTTTCCACCACTGGTTATTTTAGATCTGATTAGCATTCTGCATTACAGTTCAACCTCCCACCACAGGAAAATGTACTTCTGGCCACCAGAGAATTAAAAAGATACACCAGTTGCTTGTCTGATTCTGCTCAGTGAGTGTTTTCTGACTACAAAATTCTGGGACACTAATCACTAAATTATCCAGGACTGAAATCTGAGTGAGTATAACTTTTAAAAAATGCTTTATAAATGCATTTTTGTTGTGCTTGTTTGTTTTGTTTTGTTTCCTTTGTAATGGCACACAGCAGGCTTACCAGAGCCCCGCTGCTGAGCAGGATCATGAAGATGATGAAGGTCTCAAACCAGCTATGCTCCACAATCTGGTAGCAGGTCTTCCTCAGCCTCCACCAGGCCTGGCCCAGACCATGGCTGTGGTCAATGTCACCGCACCGACAGTGTCTCATGCATACTGATGATAAGATAGGACCAGCACACATTACATAGCAAGAAGCATCAACTTATGACATTTCACAGATTGGGTAGTTTTAGGGTTATAATTCTCAGATATGTTGCCTGATTTACTACTCACATTCTGGGAAGCATTCTTCTGGCTCCATGCTCTGTTCAGCCAGCGCCAACACATTGTCCGACTCCTCCCCAGGTTTCCTCAGGTCCACAGTGCTGCCCTCTGACAGACTGAACTTGTCCTGAGAAGTGAGAAGTCACAGTGTCACCAACAAATTGCTCTCTTACTACAATTAATTGTTGATCGATTACATACGAGATAACTAACTGGCAGTAGCTTTGCAGTTACTTCACACTGGAAGAAGTTAAACTACAGCAAACTACTCAATAGAGAAATGTGGTCTGGTAAACTAGTTACTTAGAAAAAGTAGTTCAAACTACTTTGTAAAAAATGATCAAACTGACAATGTACATATGATGCATAACTATAACATAACAGATGAAAACTCGCTTGAGAAAAACTTAGTGAGACAAAAAAACTTTCCTAAACAAAGCAATCCCATCCGGGCTTATATAAATATATATTCATTTATTTATTTAATCTGTGTAAATGTAACTATGTAAAAGAAACTTAAAAACCAGAACAAAAACTCAGTGTTTTTGCATAAAGATAGAGGTTTAAAAATCCACTGTAGTTGCAGTGCGGTTGTAAACATCGGCCACTCACACAAGTCACAAAACATCATTTAGCATGTTCTCTTATCCATTTTGGAGTGTGTCCAGCATGCGCCAGGCTGAGAGCAGGAAATCAACCTGGATGTGGTGAAAATGAAAACAGAGACCAAGACAGAAGCTGAACCAACTTCTCTCTAAGTAACAGTGTTGAACTTGGCTTCATTCCAGGCAAAGGCGACAAATCTGCTTTGACATCGCCAATGCACTTCAGGCCAGAATCTGGAAGTGCAATTATGTCTCTATCAGAATATTGAATTCCATAGAAAGCAGCGCTGCATGTGATTGTTAGTGTCTTTAAACTCTGTCAGTATAAAAATGAGTGAATATGTCTCTGTTTTGTTTAGGCTGACTCACCAGCTTGTTGTCTTCATCCTCTGATGACTCTGAAAACTCCTCCTCTTCCAGAAACTCCACATCTGACTCTCCAGGTGCAATGGGAACAATGACAGTCAGATTTGGGTTAGTCACGTAGCTGTCTTCCTCTGGTATTATGTACTTCTCTCCATAGTGTCCAAAAAATCCTCCATTGCTTTCCACATGATTGCCAGCCAGCTTCATAGCCTGACTGGCTTCTTTGGCCTTCTGCTTTCGACATTTCAAGCTGCGGTTGAAGAGGGTGACAACACTTGTGACAAGCCAGGTGACACCTACATGGATGCGAGTGATAGCAACCTGGATGTTGTTCAAATCGCCGTCTTCATCTGGAGCAGAGAGGTTCTCAGAACTGAAGGAGCTGAGCAGCAGGGCCAGAAAGAGGTTCAGCACCTGTTGGTGACAAACTGTACATTTTATTTTGGGAACACTGCTGTCATTTAGTTTGCCATTGTTGTTGTATGCACAGTGTTTATGTCCAGAGTGTACTGCAGTCTACTTTTAAAGTAGGGCCCATCCTCATAATATGGAATCACCAGTAGTCACTGGTGCAACATAATCCCTAAGTACTTGTGACATCTCATTTAGATTTGACAGCAGTTACAGTTGGTCACATTGTCATGCAATTGGATGCAAATTAGAAATGTTAAATAACATATAAAAGTTCAGTTTAGTACTCACCACCAAGTTCCCTATGACCATGACCAACATGAATACCAAGATGCAGAGGGGCTGCCCAGCCACTTCCATACAGTCCCACATGGTCTCGATCCACTCTCCACACAGCACCCGAAACACAATCAGAAACGAGTGGAAGAAGTCCTTCATATGCCAGCGAGGTAGCTGACAGTCATTGGAGATCTTACACACACAGTCCTGGTAGTTCTTGCCAAACAGCTGCATGCCCACCACAGCAAAGATGAAGACAATGATGGCCAACACCAGTGTCAGGTTTCCCAGTGCACCCACTGAGTTACCAATGATCTTGATGAGAGTGTTGAGAGTGGGCCAGGACTTTGCCAGCTTGAAGACTCGTAACTGATGAAGATGATATTTGAGAGATGTATTCAGATAAATGTTGTGTGAAGTCTTACTGTGTGGATCAGTGCTACAATGACACATATTTATCATAAGCATATAAATGAGAAGTAAAAATTTCTGTCACCAGTCTGAATGACCGCAGGACAGAAAGTCCTTCTACATTGGAGAGGCCCAACTCCATTAGACTGAGACAAACAATGATGCCGTCAAAGATGTTCCAACCCTGCTGAAAGTAATAATAGGGGTCCAGGGCAATCAGCTTCAGCACCATCTCAGCTGTAAAGATCCCTGTAAATACCTGAGGAAAAGCGCAGTGACTGAAACAAGTAAGAAGTGGAAAAGGTATCAGGGAGACCAAAAACACTTAACACCTGAAGTCACGTGTTCTCAATAAATTGTTTACACCACAGTGTCAACACTTTGCTATGTTAATAGCACACTGACAACACTTTAGTAACACTCTGACAATGTGTAGACAACATGTGATCCACACTCTAATGCAGACATCCAGGGTGGTGTAACATGTTTGTTGTGGACAGTACCTCTGCTATTTATCCTTTACATCTCTCCTGAAGTTCATATGACTAGGGTAAAGGTCAAAACTAGAAACCACTAGAGTAGATATTACTGATGGTCTACAGATTAGGTAACCAAACAGTTCATGAAATTAACTCAAAATTAATACTCTGAACAAGTGCCCAATATGGTTACTGTGTATTAATAAATTATTTAAAAATCTTATCCCTTAATGACATGACTTTCTATGATATTTATGAAATTCTGCTTAGATTTATTTGGTATGTTCTTGCAAATAACAAACACACAACAGAAGTGAAAAAATAACCTGCTTGGTGAAGGTAAGAATTAAAAAAGCATCACTTGCATGTGTCTTTTTATGAATGCATTTCCAAACTTGAAGACACTAGCAGTATCTATAATTTACCAGTAGGGGGAGATGGTAAGATACAAATCAAGCTATCATCCTCCACCTCCTGTTAAAAATACTCCCTTGTACCCTGGATAATCATAAATTGTCTAACTGGAGACAAAAGATGTACATGACCTTATTTGACCTCCAATCCAGCTCAGCATCACTGGCTATAAAAAACACAGCTGTCTGATACAGAAATACAGCGCAATCTCAATGAATAGTACTTGTCTTTCCTCTACACTCTACTCAGACCTCTTCTCTGCTCATCTATCACCTAACAACACTTAAGAGAAAGAGTTTTTTTGGACAGCTACCTACTCCTGGTGTTAAACCCCCTCTTACCAGATTGCCCACTGAGAGCATGGTGTTGAACTCCTCAGTCATGGGGTAGTGCTCCAGGGCCATGAAAAGTGTGTTCAGCACAATACATATGGTGATACCTAGATCCAGAAAAGGATCCATCACCATGATCTTCACCCACTCCTTCATCTTCAGCCACCAGGGGCAGCAGTCCCATATCAAGTACTTCTTGGCAAATGTGTACCAGCAGGGATGAAACTTTTGCCTTGACTCCTGCAGTTCTGCAAAGTGACGCCAAAGTGTACTGTTCAGCTGTAGCAGGCCTTTCAAGAAATTCCCCCTGAAAAAGTTACCCTATGCTTTTTTATCCTTTCCTTTTAAACATCAGGGGCTGTAATTTGAAGCCCAGGCACATATCACTCAGAGATTTATGCTGGTTTCAAACCATAATTAGGTCTCTGAGTCTCAACATAAGGGGAATCTAATTCCCTTATCCTCACTTGACCCAGAAGTTGTTCCGGTCCACCAATGATGGAGCACATACCAAAGCTCTTATTTCTGCCCTGAGGAGCGAGGAGGCTGCCTGGGGGAGCTATAACCGAGGATACACGAGTGCATCCTTCGTGGAAGTCTGTTACAGGCTGACATGCTCCTTTACGTATACTTATACTTAACTTCTTAATTATTGCGTTTTAGTGGTCCTGTAGGTGGATTCTGTTATCCTAACAGGGTTAAGTGAAAGATGACCCAAGTGCAGACTCAGACAAATGTAGGACAAAGAAACAAGGTTTAGCATGAACCAAGTACAAAATAAACGACTAGAGACACACAAACCCAAGAAACTCAATACTGACTAGATAACTTAAGGACACCTCCAGGAATACACTAAACAAAATGGCACAGTCAGGGAGCAGCATGATGAACTGAAAACTTAAGCAATGTGACAAACACACAATAAAAACAAATAGTAGCAAACAAAATGCAGGAGGAAATGAAAACCAGAGTCCAGGAGTCAGGGATGTGAGGAGTGATTCACAGGTAAGGCTAAGGAGCAAAAATATGGTACAGAGCAAAAAGATAATGGCAACAAGGGATACAGAAACAAGAGCAAAGTAGGGTGTGTACACAGACAAACCCGCAACCAGACTGAGGGAGGTGAGGTGAATATAAAGGCTGAGATGGGGAGGACAACAAGCAACAGTCAAAAGCACTTGGAGGTAATCAGTGGCTGGAATATAGCTGGGGAAGGTGAGATAGCATGGGACAGAAGATACCCTGCAAAATGCAAACTGTTAAGTCTCTATGGCATCATGACATATCCTCAGACAAACCACCACTTGTTTGTCTTGGTGCTAAGCTAAGCTAACAGGTTACTGGTCGGAGCTTCATGTTTAATTGACAGAGTTGAGAGTAGTATTTATATTCTCATCCAACTTTCTGCTAGAAAATGAATTAGTATATTTGAAACTACTCCTTTATTATTCACAAGGACTCACCATCCATGGCACCACTGAAGAAGCTGACCAAGCTCAGCCCTCTTTTCCTGTGCACTGGAGGAGGCTCTGTCACTGTTGAGGAAGGCTGGAGGAAAGGCCTGGGAGCAGTGTCCTCTGCACTGGTGGACTTCTGGTAGATAGAAAATACTTAAAAATGAAATATGAGGCTTTCTTCTTCTCTCTTTCATTTGGTGAGCTGTTAGGATATTCCAGTACATCCTAACAAATACATAAATATCACCATATTTCAGAGGCTTCTGTCACTCACTGTGTCTCCCCTGACCCTATCCATGCTGTGAGCAGGCATAGATATAGGGGTGAGCAGGCCCACAGTGGTGACTCTGTTCTGGTCCAGGGAAAGGTTGAGCAGGCCATTGATGTTGAGGTTGGAGTTGAGGACTTGTGAGCAGTGGCTCCTTACACTGCCTGTCCTCCTCTTCCAGGGTGTTGCTGTTGAACTGGCACAACTCCTGAAGGCATCCCCAACGCTAAACTCGTCATCCCCGAAGTCAGCCTCCGAGTTGTTGCGCGGCCAGAAAGAGCTAAAGATGCTGTTCTGGCTTCCTCTTCTGGTGCTGAGGGGGTGAGAGGAGAATGTGGCCAGCAGAGGGTGGACTGGCAGGGGAGACAAAGGAGGCTACAGATAGACACAAAGGACACATTAGCTTATATGGCCTAGAGCCTCAAAAGCTAGGAAAAAGGTTTAAAGCCTGATTGCTGAGTGCTGTACCACTGGCTCTTCCAGCAGGTCAGACTTCTCCCCAGCAGCTTCTTCTGCTGTTTCCTCTGACAACATCCTGTGAGATGTTCTTCTTCTGCTGCTGTTTCGCCTTATGCTTCCAGTCTTGAGACAAAATGGAGACACCTCTGGGGACAACACAGAGTCTGTCTCCTGCGCTTGGCTCTTTGCTGCCAACTACAGATATAAAGAAATCAAACTGAATTAAGTTGTTTATCCTAAGCTGAAAGCACACATTAAATATGAAAATCCTTGCTGATGGTTTGTGTTGCACCTACTCTTTGCTCTCTTCGAAGCTGCTCCATAGCCAGCTGAAACTCCCTATCCTTTTGCCAGGCTTCAGCAATGGTGGCCTGATTCTGCTCCTCATAGGCCATTGCCACTACTGCTAGAATCAGGTTTATCAGGTAGAAGGAGCCCAGGAAGATTACCAGAACAAAGAAAATCATGTAGGTCTTCCCTGCTGATCGCAGAGTCTGAGAGAGAGGACATGAAGTCACAAAGTCCAGTTCCCATGTTGAAGGAAAATTCTGGTCTTTCTAAAACCTGAGTCATATGTTCATAGTTGTGGCATAATGAATAGTTGAGAATAAAATTAATCGCCATCTTTTACCAACATTTACATTTTACAGCTACAGTATTAGATTTTTTTTGCCACTTGGGAACAACCCATAAACACAACACAAATAATCAGTTTATGAAGTTAATGTGCCAAATGTGTTAGCAAACATTTGTCTATTTACATATGCATTTTCATTTTAGCTCTGATTTGGGCTCCACCACCTCCTGAGGAAAATATCCAGCCTCTTAGATGTTCACAGGCTAGTTGCTAAATTTGCATATCATTTGTTGCTAGACAGAAGCATACAGTGAGGTCGTCCTCGAAAGAAGCTGCCTGTGACAGCTGGAAATGACACTGATGAGAGTGGTGACAGTGAACCAAAACAGAGAAGTTGAGGGCCAGAAAAAAACAAAATAATGAGCTGAAAGGTGCTAAAACTCTCATCATTATGAGTGACTATTTCTCATTACCATTAGTAGTTTGATCTAGGGTTAAACTGAAATTACTGAGGGAAAATATGGACAATTTCTTAGGTGATTATCACAAAATATTGGTGGATTCAAGATAAGATTAAAAAATTGCACCTGATGAAACAGTTTTTCCCAGTAGTCTTGTGTCATAAGACGGAAAAGGGCCAGAAAGGCCCAGCCGAAGGTATCAAAACTGGTGTAGCCATAGTTTGGGTTTCTTCCTACTTTTAGGCAGTCAAATCCATCTGGACACCTCCTGTAATGCACAAGCAGTTTAAAAGCAGAAAACAAGTGATTATGGAACACCACTGATAGACAAAGGCTATGCACATTTAAATCAAAAGCAGCTGAGATAGATATAGCTGTGGGAGTGTGCAGGCTGCTTTACTACAGTTAAAAACACCTCCTGAAGCCCTGTGACCTTAGACTCCACAGGGGAGAAAAGCAGATGAGTCACAAAGTTCATTCACTGCTATCATCACCATTATTTCAACTTAAGAGGCCACTTGAAATTCATTCCAGGCAGGAGCACTAAAATGCACTGGAGCAGAAGGGATTATGCTGAGCCACATGGATATCAAAGTGCAGTTCAAAAAATTTCAGCTCTGTCCCTCCATCTCAGATCTTTATTGTCACCTTATCGGCATTACAGCAAATATTTAAGTCCAGCAGCCTAGAGAGAACAACCATGTCAGTGTGAGTGCAGAATAATTTCGTAATGGCTTGGAAACAGCTGGGTGGTGAAGCGCTGCTGTGAGGACAGCTGTAGATCTCACTGACCCGCCAGCTAAGACTATTATCCAGCAGTGAGGACAGAGGAGGCTGTGTGTGGCCAAGAGCATCTTCTTACCAGGCTGTTCCTCTGCTGAACTGTTCAACCTGCCAGCAGTCTGCTCCTCTCTTGTAATCAATGGGACAAAACATACATACACAGAACCTGCAGATACTGTGAGTGCACTGGGGATTTGCATACGTTAGCCATTAGCTGCCTTGTTGTATTGTGAATACATGATTGCTGAGCATTTTTCAAAGCATAGCATATGACTTTTATACTAGGCTTTGTTATGTTAACTCCTAAATTGAAGACACTTTAAAAAACTATTCTTGCTGCATTCTTGAAAAATCTTTTTAAAAAGACTGAATCCTGACACAGCTTGTAGGTTTTGTGATTTTCTTCTCATAGATTTATGCTGGATAATCAATTTTAAGCAACATTCACGCCTCTGCATGTTTAACTATTGATTAACAAAATATCAGCAAGCAGCTATGATGATCCACTTGTCATTCTTGGTTAAAGCTTCGCTGAGGCGAGGACTGGCTGCTTTTCCTTTCTGTAAATTGCACGTCCTAAGGTTAGGGCTGACAATACATCTGAAGGGGTCACCTTTGACTTTAGGAATTTGTAATGGGCATTTATAAGCAAATTTTATACATACATTTTAAATGATTAATCAAATTAATTAATAATGAAAATAACTTCTGCACCTCTATTTCTATACTACAGTATAATCAAATTAATAAAAAAAAAACAGCGGCTGCCTGGAAGCTATAGAATCAGTCTAAATTAAAGTCAAAACAGATCTTTAAGTTAAAACATGAGTCATTCAAAACTTCCTTCAAGTAAATTCCTTTTCAACTGCACCCTGACACCAACTGTAATCATTATTACTGTACCATTTGTTTAAAAAACTGTTTCATTTAATTTACTCAGTAAATGCTCAACAGTCTGAACAGCTTTCTAGAGACAGGAATTTCTTAATTGTAAGTAAAGGTACCGTCAGTGATAAAGTTTGGCTGCTTAACGTGAAATACACACAGATGGACTCCTACTGTGCATCTCATGCTGCGGTTGCTAGACTTAATACCACACTGCTACCCAGTGCTGTCACTTAAACAGCTGGATCAGGGAAGATCAGCATAGACAGTCACACCAGTGTTTTCTTTTTTCTATGTACATGCTACAGTGTATTGCTCTTTACTCATTAGTAATACACTTCACTACCTGCAGTGTGTTACTTAGGAGCTACAGGTAATAAT